AGAGACCAAAAAATGCAGATGAGCTGAAGGCCACTGTCAAAGAAACCTGGGCTTCCATACCACCTCAGCAGTGCCACAAACTGATCACCTCCATGCCACGCCGAATTGAGGAAGTAATTAAAGCAAAAGGAGCCCCTACCAAGTATTGAGTACATGTACAGTAAATTAACATACTTTCCAGAAGGCCAACAATTCACTAAACATTTTTTTTTATTGGTCTTATGAAGTATTCTAATTTGTTGAGATAGTGAATTGGTGGGTTTTTGTTAAATGTGAGCCAAAATCATCACAATTAAAATAACCAAAGACTTAAACTACTTCAGTCTGTGTGCATTGAATTTATTTAATACACGAGTTTCACAATTTGAGTTGAATTACTGAAATAAATGAACTTTTCCACGACATTCTAATTTATTGAGATGCACCTGTAGATTTAAAAAGGACACTGTAAAATATTTCATTTTAGTTGGAAGTAGATTCTATCTTAAGGACTTTAAGGTAACAATTTAATTTTGTGAAAAAACAAATTAGGCTATTCAAAGCTCTGGTTTTATATCAAAACTGGAAGGAGCCTTTAATACACATATTTTAGAAGTTGTAATTCTGTATGAGTAAGTATATATAATATTAGTACCGGCTAGGTGTCATCATGATTGTGACCCAGTATCGGCTCAGTTTCAGTATCCAGTGCTGGACCAGTGCCGGCTAAGTGTACCATTTTGGTTGGTGTGATTGTGGCCCAATGCCGGTGGTGTTGGCTCAGTTTCAGTACCCAGACATGGGCCAGTAATGGCTAAGTGTACCATTTTGGTTGGTGTGATTGTGGCCCAATGCAGGTGGTGTTGGCTCAGTTTCAGTACCCAGACTCGGGCCAGTACCGGCTAAGTGTTTCAATTCTTGTCATCGTGATTGTGGCCCAATGCTGGCAGTTTTGGCAGCCGGACTCGGGCTAGTGTATTCGGGCCGATTCTGGGGAATCATTCATCCCATGTCCATGCAGAGTCTGGCAGCCGCAGCCGGGCCGAGTTATTTCTTCCAGCCTGCCCAATCTGGGCCATTATCGGGCCAAACCGTTTTGGCTGACTGGGATCTTTGATGACCAGCTGAATTTCAAAGACCACATTGCAAAAGCTGCTCAAATCTTGCAGAAGATCAGGCCCTTCCAATCAGAGCATGCTGCACAACTTCTTGTCCAGGTCCTTGTCATTTCTAGGCTGGACTACTGCAATGCTCTTCTGGCTGGACTTCCATCATGTGCAATCAAACCTCTACAAATTATTCAGCATGCAGCGGCCCGACTGGTCTTCAACAAGCCCAAAAGGGCCCATGTCATACCTCTCTTTATCTCCCTGCATTGGCTACCGGTTGCGGCTCGCATCAAGTTCAAGACATTGATGCTTGCATATAGAACAGCCACAGGCTCAGCACCCTCCTACTTCCACTTACTTTTACAAATCTACATCTCTTCCAAAAATCTGAGAACTATACAACTATACTATTATATTTACTACTTGCTGAAGGGCACAGATAAATGTGATATTTATTATAATGGGTTTATGTGAAGATTGTTTTAGGTTCACTTAAATTAGAAGTTCTTATTTTTTAAAGTCTAATAAATGTTAAAATTGATAGCTCTCAATTGTACTGTAATGTTGAATGGCTATAGTCAATGGTTAAATATTACTATCAGTAATATTGGTATCAGTGATGCTTCTCTTCAGTCATGACAAAAGATGCCATAAAACAAATATTAAAATGTGTATTGGGCCATATTTTAATGATCTAAGCGCATGGTCTGAAGCACATGGCACAGATGCATTAGGGCATGTCAGAATCCGCTTTTGCTAGTTTAACAACAGAATAAAGGGTCTGCGTGCCAGGCACATGGTCCAAAAGGGTTGCACCTATTCTCTTAATGAACCATGGGTGTGTTTTGGGCATAATATGCAATAAACCAGAGTATCAGAGTGTCATCTCCCATTCCCTTTAAAACCCAGTTGCGCTTGTACCATGACGGATTCGCTATTTACATGGCAGAATTTGCCAAAGAAAAGACTGAACGCATCTCCAGAGAGGAAAGAGATCTGTTCATGCGCGAGGTTGAAGCGTACACAATAATAATATTTTACATTGTAATCCTTTCATTTTTAATATTTGGCATGTTTGTGTGCTGCTGCGCGTCCCTGTGTGTGTAATCAGCAGAGTGTACTTAAATACTTAAATTAAATAAAAACTGCACCATTGACTTTATGGCACAATAATTTTTCAGTTGCCTCAAAATAGCAATGCGTCAACAATGTGCCTGCACACACCTCATTTTCAGATCAGCACGCACATGGGCGAACAGACAGGTGCAAGTGCATTTGCTATTTATGAAAATACTGCACCATTGACTTTATGGCACAATAATTTTTCAGTTGCCTCAAAATAGCAATGCGTCAACAATGTGCCTGCACACACCTCATTTTCAGATCAGCACGCACATGGGCGAACAGACAGGTGCAAGTGCATTTGCTATTTATGAAAATACTGCACCATTGACTTTATGGCACAATAATTTTTCAGTTGCCTCAAAATAGCAATGCGTCAACAATGTGCCTGCACACACCTCATTTTCAGATCAGCACGCACATGGGCGAACAGACAGGTGCAAGTGCATTTGCTATTTATGAAAATGATAACTGTGTGTGGCTGAAACTAGCAAAAAAAACCTTGCGTCACACCTGGCATTGCATTGCGCCGGGTGTATGATAAGGCCCGTTGTCTTATGTTGTTTCTACATTAATTTCAAGATTGAATGTGAAAATTATTGCAATATAAAAGTATATTTAAAAACTTTAATGTTTGGTGGAATTCTCACCTAACATTAAAGTTTTTAAGTATACTATTTTATACTTTTATTTTTCTATATAAATTCAGTAAAAAAAATTGATTGTTTTTTTTTAATCAATTGACAGCACTAACTATAACATAATACAACAATTCAATCTCAAGCTATTAACACAAGGACAAATTGTGTTTTTACTCACCATAGACAGAAACACTGAATGTTTTTGATGACCACATAGGTCCATTTATCTCTAGGTGATAGAGTCCAGCATGTTCAGTTGTAATGTTTGTGATTGTCAAAGATCCAGTTTGATTGTCCAGCTTCAGTCTGTCTCTGAATCTCCCATCAGGAACATCATATGGGAAGGAGATTTGCTTCTCAATGCTGATTTTAGCTATGAGAGACTTTTCAGCTCCAAATTTCCACAGTATATCATCATCTTCATGAGTTTTAGTAACATAAGTGTGTAAAGTGACAGAATCTCCCTCCATCACTGACACTGACTGAATTTCATTTGTTTTAGAACCAAACACACCTGAAGAACATAGAGGTTTTCAGATTAATGCTCTTGTTGGTGTAGAAAGCCTGACATTAGTTTGCAACCTTTGATAGCAGCAGAGACACGCAACTAAATGAAAAGTCATATATGAACAAACATGTGCGCGTGAATCAATTTGATCTGCTGTAGAGCAATAAATTACATGATAAATTAAATGCTGCTTGAAAGTACACGTTTCAAAATGTTGGATATATTCAACACTATGTATTGTTGAATTTCTATGATGTTAATAGATGTTTATGATTACTGCAGAAATAATTAAAATGATTTAAATTATAGTTTAGAAATGTTTTTAGAGGATTTGCAATTGTAAACACTGAAATTAAGATTTCTTAAACACCAAGAGGGATGTAATCAATTTAATTTGAACCACAGCAGGATCTTATTACTCTGAAATGTAAATAAATGGAAAATAATAACTTACCAATCAGACACCAGCAGGACAAACAGAACGAAACAAGTGTGTGAAACATCATCATTCAGTGAAAAGTCTGATCTAATTAGCCAACAATGAATGCACAACTGATCTAAAGAAACACAACAGAACTAATGTGGATCCTCCCACGACAGTTTGACCCTCCTAATGCAAATGCTCACACTCAGTTATATAGTTACATACAGTATATAATATATAAACTACATTTCATGGTAAAATAAACAGGAAAAAATATTGTAGAAATCATTTTCATTCATAAATTGCAAGTAAATTTCACAAATAATTACAAAGAATTGACAAGCAACAATTGAATTAAATGTGAAATTTTCAGTCAGAAAGTCTGAAAATATTTCCTGAAAATTTACTCCATTAATCAGTTTTATTTACAGTGTCAAAAAAAATTTTTTACAGTGTAGAGCCTGAACTCTATGGATTTAAAAATGGTTGTGTATATATACTCAATTATAGCATATGTGGAAAAAAGTACAGAGTTAAAACCATGAGTGATCTCACCAGGTACCAGTTTACTGACGTTCATCATTTGAGTCAAACTGAAACCTGCTGCCGTTTGATTTCTTGAGAAATGTGGTTTGATCTGTTGGGTGGACCAACATCTTGTATGTAAAAGTGGCTATTCAGGGCTTGTGTGTTTAGTTTGTAGGCATAGTTGTGCCTTCCTCTCCTGCGACTATGAACAGCTCTGAACTTTAATCTACAGAAACAGATGAGAAACTGCAATTTGTTCAGAGGCAAAGCAGAAACACAATTTAATTTATTAATTTATCATATTTAACACATTTTTTGGAATGGGAATACTTATTTGGAAATATCAAGTTATTAAAAAAAAATCACATTCTACAGGTGAAATTTTGTTGACAGCTCCCCTTATAAATATACAATATTCAGTCATTTTACACTTTTTTTTTTTATTTAATTGTAAAATTGAATACTGTAACTGTATAATGTAGTTAATAAGGGACTATGTGAAATTTACACCCTCTGTGCAAAAAAAAAAAAAGAAGAAATCACTTCAAATCAACAAAACAAATCATTACAAATAATTCTCAACAAAACAAATCATTACAAATAATTTGGAACACACTGAATTAAACGAACTTTTGAATTAGACAGACTAAAATTTTATTTTTCTTGTAAAATGCAGTGCTTGAAGTGGGCTGGTACATAGTACCAGTATTTCTACAGTATATTTTAGTTTTAGCATATGACACTTTTTTTTATTTTATTTTTTGCGTACTGGCACTTCTGACATGTTGCCAGTATACTCAAGAGTCAGTTTCTGGGTGATGACACTATATAAATCACACTACCAGGAGGGGTCACCTCTCATCTTCACAAATCATGTGAATGAATGAAAGCATATAGTCGGTCTACCTCAGGGGTTGTCACCCAATATCATGAAAGTACGTACCAATAGCATGATTTTATGTTTTTATTTGGTGTATTATTTATATGCAGAAATTGACTTTGGCGTATGATACGCAATGGGGTTGCGGATGTAATTAGGGGTGTGGGGTAGACGCGTATAATATGTAGGGGAAAAGTGTGTTTCCTATATAATGAACATAAATCAAAACTCCACTTGACTACAAACAGATACAATTAAAAAAATTGTCCACAAAATGATGTTTTATTAACAAGGTTCGGGAGGAGCGCGTCAGATACTTAGCCTAATTAACACAAGTGGAGCGAACTCAAGTTAATCAACACCATGGTATAAATCCAGCTGACTTCTATCCATTGACGGTTTATCAGCATTCGGTTTGCACATTTTGCCATTATATCACAGACTCAACTTCTCTCATCCAAACGACGAGACCCATACTGGGGGGGGTTTTGGCCCTCCGGCCAATCTGCCGGCCCCAGGATCGCTCCTTCTCCGCCAGACACCACCGCCGAGCTCCAGGCTTCATCGCGGCCGCTGCTCAACCAGCCACATGCTCTCTACGACACCGAGGCTTAACTTTGCCTCCGCCGGCATCACTTCCAACTTTTTCCTTATCTTTCGGCTGTGCCTACAATTTCTCCAATCGGAAAGTGGACCGTATTTAAGTCTGAGGCAAACGCTGATTAATTCTGACGCACCATTCTCGCGATGGGTAAACAAAGCGGATCTGCATGATTTAAGTTATTTGTCTCCCAGCAATCAGCCAACCTCACTCCTAAATCTACTCCGGCAGAGCGGCCAATATTTCGACCAAAGTTCCCAAGGCCCTGAACTCGCCACGCTCGACACCACCATAGCCCCGCACAAAACCGGGCTCTCCTTAAGCACTGGGTCGCAGCGGCAGGCCTTTAACGAGCCTGGGCCACGCCCTAGATCTCAACACAGCAAAGCCTCACTCGCTTCCCGCTTCGGCTCAACCTTTCACTGTGGCTCTTCCAGCTGGAGCCGGGCTTCCAGCTCTTGTAGCAGACGCTAGCGCGATCTGCTAGCGACACAGGTCATGTTGCAAATTAATTTTTAGGTAAAGTCGCTAAAAGGCAGGTCGTTTTGTTGCTAAAAGTTGTTAAACGACGTTGTGACAAAAGGATGTTGATGTCATTTTGTAACCATGACGCAAACTGCTTAAAATACACAAAGAAATTACTCAGATTTTCTGAATTGATTTTCGCTAGCATTTTTACATGTTTTAAATTACACCTTTTCACTCGGATAAACGGATGAAAAAGATCGATTCAGCTATGTACCTAAAGGATTAATGATTATAGGCACAAACTAACAACTAAGGTTTATCATAAAATAAACTATTATTATTGAACAAGTGCAACTAGCAACCTAATTTACATGTGACGTGAGTATTGCTAGGCACCTCTCTCCAAGTCTCTAGCCGACGTGCCACTTGGCTAGCTTTTCAATATTTCTTTGGGTGGTTAAGAGGAAAATGCATTTCTTTTTAACATTTATTAACTTTTTAAAGATGCTAAAAGTTGCCAAATACATTTTTAAATGGGTAAATTTGTTACTATGTGCTTTGGAAAACCAGTTGCTAGGGTAGTCTGAGAAATTGCTAAATCTAACAACAAATTGCTAAATCAGCAACACTGCAGGCTACTCGGGCATTTCAGCATTTGTGGTCAAATGTCACAAACCACTCTCTTTTCCCGCTGCCTACAGCTAAAGCAGTTGAAGCAAGCATGAGTCCGCCTCCGCTTGCAACACAAGCCCTTGCATCTCAGTCTTTCCCGCTGCTACTTTTAATCTTTTCATTTTCATAGACCTCCAGCACCCATATCAAACGCTATAGTGTGAGGCTGCCTCCGCTACCAGTGCAGGCTACACAGGTTCTTTGGGACTCCCTTCCCCTGGCCTACAGCTACAGCAGGTGAAGCAAGCGAGAGGCTGCCTCCGCTTGCAACAGGCCCACACATCTCGGTCTTTTACCTCCCGCTACTAATAACCCCTTTTTTCTTTTCAGTGGCCCCCAGCTCCCATAGCAGACACTAGCGTGAGGCTGCCTCCGCTCGCAACACAGGCCAACACATCTCTTTCTTTTCCTCCATTTTTTTTCTCTTGCGCTTCTCTCAGTTTCCCACCTCAAGCCCCAGAGGCCGATATTAAGCGTGAGGCTGCCTCCCCTGACAATTGCGGCCCCTGCTCCTCTCCCTCACAGCTCTCTACTTCATTTAAAATCACAATATTCTCTTTTATAGCAACATCACTGCCCGTCCCACCAAATGCTTTTGCCTCGGGGCCACAACATTCGAGCACAGACCCTGGCAGGTGTGGACATATACCCCTCATCTAAGCCCATCACTAACGATAAATTGGGTAACAGTTATCGGTTGATTATTCTTATGATTAATCGGATAATTATAATTTATATTTATGGTAGAAAAATGGGCCTAATTAAACAATAGCCTTTAAAAATTACCTAAAATACATACATAATAGCAATAAAGCCATAATTGATTTAAATAAAGTATCAAAAGCAAGTAACAATATGGTTCTGTTGAACAAAACTTAACAATGTATTATAAACAATATAACGTACATACACATTATATCAAAAGCCTACAAAGGGCACCAATGGCCCGACAATTGTTCCTACATGTCACTGTGTGATCTAATCCTCGTATGGCTAAACAAGAATTCAAATGTCCACTTAATCTTGAATATTTGGCCATTTCTTTACGACAGAAATGTTACAGCAATCGTGAATCCTTGAATGTGGACATTGAAAGCCATTTTTCTGAGTTTTTCATTACGTTCAGCCATTTCACTGAAATAATCTGTTCAGCTTTCCCCATAGGCGGCTAGAATTAATCGAGGGTTCATGATCAGCCCTTTCGATGCCCCGCCTTCTCAGTTTTGCATTAGCCCATTGGAGTGGCTACTAGGAAAATTCTGGGGTAAGAAACGCCTTCTAATTGATCTGTCAGCTCCACATATCTCCCTGTTTTCATGCATAAACACCTCGATTCTTCTTGATGAATTCCCTCTCAATAGTAGGACATTGATCATGCAATCAATATGTTAAAATCACGGGTCTTAGCACTTGGCTGGCAAAAGT